ATAGCATTTCTTCTTTATTAGTCTTAGATCTTCTACAATCACCGACAATACTTTTTTGAACAAAAGGAAATAAAATTCTTACCCAAAAAATGCGGTAATATATAAATAACACCATATATATATAGCACTTGTACCACGCAGCAAAAAGTAAGAACCTTAATCTTAATTTTCATCTTTGACAAAAACGATCGAAGGTCGGCTTACGTTATCCTTGTTATTTCGGCACTTGTTTCGCTTCCTTTGTTTTAAACTAAGCTACTAAAACCGTTCTGCAGCTGGTTTAGACAATTTAATTTTCACTTCAAAACAAAATGTACAGGTAAGATTTTTTTTTAACTATTGAAATATTTAAACCAAATTTATAAAATTGAACTAAATTCGTGGCTTCAAGCCCTGTAAAGTTTGAAGCAAGTTGAAAATCCACCAGCATACAGTTCGTTAACAAGCAATTGACACTGCTGATGTTATTTGTGTACTGGCGGCTATTTAATTCAACCAAACTACTGTCATCTGATTAATAAACATTGGTCGTGATGTGATCCGAACCGAGCAGGATTAAAAATATATGTTAGACTTCTTAATTGAGATTTTTGTAGATGTTTTTCAGATTTGAAATTGTCTGTGAAATAATAAAGTTCATAAAGGAATTTCAGAGGTGCTGGTCATATCGCCTTTTTTGCCAACCAAGCAGTTATTGCAAAAGTTGAATAATTTGTTTTACGAAACTTTACCTTCACTTTTTGGTAATTATATATATATATATATATTTTTTTTTTTTTTTCTTCTATAATTGTATTGTTAAAGGTTAGGAGGTTAATCGTTCATGCAGTCTCATGCCTCGTCAGCATTTCGGTAACTTTTCATGCAACCGATATTCTTAGTATTTGAATGAAAAAATGAAATTCAAAGAATTTTAAATAATAATGTTAAGGCAGTGAGACTTCAGAAAATCTTTTGATATCAACGACATATAATTAATTGATTATTACTTGTATTCATCAATAATACCGACTAACTGCTTCAACATTGCTGTAACTTAAATAAGATTGCATCTGACGGTGTCAGAAGAACGTTACAATTGGCAAATATAATGAATTAAGCAATAAATTTTTTTTAGGACGGAATCAACTTATCGAGCATTTTATTTGACAATGCAGCAAATCATCTGTAAAAGCAAATTTAGAATTTCTTTCTTACTGCCCTGTTTCCTTGTGAAACAAAGTCATTTTCCTTTCTAGATAGTTCAGATCGTTGATTTCTTTGTCTTCGATACTGGTAGATTCTCGAATCTGTACTGTTTACCTGTACTTCCTGAAATAGTTTATTATTCAAACCTCAAATTTGAGTAATTAAACCACAGATTAACATTAAATATTATACAGCATTACAATAATGAATTGATACATAACACACAAATGTAACTTAATTATAAATCTTTTAAAGATACAAGCAAACTAGACACCTCGCAACCGAGCCCTACCAAACAAGGAACTATAATGAATGGCTTTGCAAGGAAGAAAATTGGGAGGGATTTTATGGGTGTTAAGGTTACAAAGTAGATTAAAATCACTTAAAACAATACTTTTTGTTCACTACATTATAGCTTCGCATTTGTGGCGACATATCTTTGCAAGTATCTTTCATGGTTTTTTTAATTGATAATGCAAGTTCGTGGCAATGTCGTTTTCCAAATTTCGCTGTTTTTCTTTCTTATCAACTTTTTTTTTTTACTTTTTATTTCTTATCAAATAATGTTGTCACTATCAAAATTCATATTTGCCAAATTACTCATCCCGTAGTTTCCTAGTATCTAACGTCTCTAAAATTAAAAATTTCATTTTTTTTAGGCCGCAAAATCCATGTATTCATTGAACTTGATTTGTTGATAAATATCAGAGCTTTCAAAAACCATTTTATGGCATGCAGTATATAAACCAAATAAGTATATTTAATAGTGTCTTCAAAAGTTGGCTTAAAATTCCCAAGAGCTTATTGCCATAACCTCAGCATTGCATTACACAATCCGGGCTGTTTGTCAGCAACGTTGAAATTTACTGAACGGCCGCCTCTTACAAAATCACGTTTTTTTTTAAAAAATTTTTGCTCAGTTTTTCTCAACAGTGAATCTGTGGACGAACAGCATTAATCTGGAAGATAGTAACAATAATCCTTCACTTCTGATTCCAATTCATTACTTAAATCAAAAAAGGTTGAACCCGAGAACTATGTTGAACATTTTAGTTTTCAATAATTTAATCAAATAGCATGAAGATTGGAAAATTATAAGCTTCTGCTGAAAACTGTAATTGAACTTCAGCTTTGAGCCAAATAAAAATCAAGAAATCTTTTCATATCCAACTCCGCTGTATAATAATAGATTAGTAGAGTGGAATTAAACTTCGCAGAAAATTTTACGAACATTAGGTATCTATCTCTTTGCCTGTGATATTTGTCTCATCTTTTCCTTTGGCTTTAAACACTAACCAAACTGACCAACCCTTCCTACTTCTGTCAATATATTCTGTTCAGTGATTATGATGGTGGAAAGTCTTTCTTACATTTAGAAATGAATACGCAGCCATAAACAGTAGTGCTGCTTATTATTGTATCTCAAAAACTTATTTTTAGGTATGAAATGCCTAATTGAAGATGATAATTAAACTGCTGAAATTGAAATCTTAGCACTGTAAAAATAATTTATCGGCTGACATTTATAAACAAGCAGATTCACACTTCCAAACTATTTGGCTAAATTGAATGAATGGTTGAACAATCATGTGTATATGCAGTGAAATTGTGCTGAAAATCAGTGTAATCGAGAACTCAAGATGATACAGCATCTATCGAACAATTTCCATTTGTCTTAATGGTCGCTATGTCTCTTCCCAAATATTAGTCATTAGTACATTTTTGCCTTTACCGATTGTAATAACTTATTTTTCAGTTTTGTTTTATATGATTTCGCAGAACGATAATGTTGTTAGAAAATGTATATTATGCGTTTATTCTGCTTGAATCGAAGAAAGATAAAAATAACGAGAAATCTCAATTCTTTTGATGTCCTTTTGCATATACTTGCGAGATTTTTTGCAAGTGTATCATCGAAAGATATGGAAGATCGTTCCATTTCTAAATCAGTAATAAGATTCCTTTATGTAAACATTAGTAGTGTGCATCAGTACAAGAGAAATAATTTAATATAAACACAGTATTCACTAAATCAAGATTACTATGAAAGTCAAGATATCTGATAACTTGTGGCAGGACGATGATTGCATTTAGAAGGAACTTTAGTTATGCAAAAAAAAGGACAAATTCCAAACATTTCTATTGGTTTTGGTTAGTTCATTGGCTATTGCCAATGAATCGACATCCCCACTACCTCAAAGAAAGCAAGCCACGACTTAGTTCTCGCCGCATCAGTTTCATTACGTCCCAATTAGAGAGGGACGGAAATGCTCGTCATAGTTGCACAAGAGAAGTGATTTTGGAAGAGTTGGGTTCGTGATGGGTTTTTCGGGGGAAGGGCAGGAGCGTTGGCGGAATGGTGGTAGCGGAAATAGCTCGTGGATTTCGATAGTGAATAACTTAGTTGAACCCATTTCTATTCTAACATATTTTCTTTGCTTCTTTGTTCTTTTTTTAAGACTTGGATGAATCTTGCCATCTTAGTTCTCTTCAAAATATTGCTGAGAAGTAGAAAAAAGCAAATTAAGAAAGATGAGAAAGCAAGAGAAGGAGGGACAAACAGCTGTTCTGGGATATGTAACACCCTTCAGTTCTTTGACTGAGCCACGGGTGGTTATATTCCAGTCTTCTATCCCATCGTCGTTTACATCCCTGCCCTCACCTCATATAATACCATGCTTTTTTAGAGTTTTCGTAATGCTTGCATCAGTCTTAATTTCGGTCGAAGTTAACACTTTTCATGGGAGAAATGACTTCACAGTCCGCCAGACATGTCGTTATCTGTGTGCATTCCTATAAGATTCATTCTTGTCAAACTTTTTTTTAAACTTTATAATTCGTCAGCTTGTTGCATTTGCGAGAATTGATTTGTTTCTTTATGTTGCTAGAACAAATAAAGACAATTCATCTCAGATAGTTACAGAATCTATTGCTTATATAGATATTCTGATATCAGTAATCATATGATCTGTTCAGTTCATTATCACTGGTCCAAATACCCCAACAGATATAGTTTTAGCTTTTTCTGCCTTTCCAGCCACTGTTTTCTTGTTACAACGAGACATCCAGGTCAGATTTTATGGTTATTATTTATAAGTATACAAACAACCTTGCAGATTTGTATGTGAGTGAATCAGCTTAGCAGCAAAATAGGAAGAGGCGATTTAAGCATGCTTTTAAACTGTTAAGCTGTTTTCTAATACTGTTCTTATCACATATGGATCGAGGATCTAACTTAGTCATTGAAATTCTGGACAGGGAATTACTGAAGGGTTCCTTTATTTACTTTCTGAAAAAATTCTTCAAATGTTTTGTTTTTCCATCACTTAGTTCAAAAAAAAGCAACTTTTATGAATCTGTATATTGCGTTGTTAATATTCAGATGAGGTTTTATTGCAGTCATTGTAATAAAAAGAATTCTTTTCACATTCCAAGTCCAATTACCTCCTTACAACTAGTGCGAGTAACTACGGAATAAACTCGTGTTAATAGCTTATTATTATGGAAAACTTTGTATAGGTTAGTAGGTTATATTTAGCAGTAAATATTTGAGCATTCATTTTGAAATTGTGATATTAGTTGTATAGCTTGTTTTCCTCGAAAAAATGTTTCATTTTATAGAATGTTGAATGTAGTTTTCATCAGCCTATCTGTGTTGCTTAAATTCTTCGAATCCCACAGTATAAGATGGCAGAGTACCGAAATTGTTTTTGTTTAACTTCCAAAATGCTTGTGCAGTGTATAATGAAGTTCTTGAGATTTTGTAGCAAACAAAAGGACTTGACAAAACTCACATTATAAGTAAGGCGGTTATGGAAGAGTTCGAATGGCCACCTAGTACAAGCACTCTTCAAGCAAATAATTTCACTTCCGAAGGTATTAGCGAATTTTGCACCAACTGGATGAAAGCAATTAAATCGGCAGTAGTGGTGCAGGATCGACCACGTCACATCCGACCCTCCAATCTTATTAGTAAGTTTCTTGTATTAGTTCAAATTTCATTCTTGGTATTGAATGCAATGGCGATGTATACGTCATAAATAGTGATGAGCGGCACGACCTCATCGAAAATGAATGAGGACCAATGAAAATTTCCTTTTTAGTATGGACTGTTGGTTTAACTTGCGTTACCGTAATTAGTTTATGTGCTGCTGTTGGAATTGTTTTCGTCAAGAAACTTAGCAAACGAGCATACAACCACTTTATCACGGTTCTTGTAGCTGTCGGAGTTGGTTCACTTATAACTTCATCTACTTTGCATTTGCTGCCCCAGGTGAAATTTTCCCGATCACAGTTTTAGTTTTCGCATGCTCTTTTTTTTCCTTCCTCTTAAGTAGCAATATTTCTGATTTCAACTTAAGCGGAACTAGTGAACGTAAGCGATGTGATGCATATTGAAATTCTAAAATATTTTAGAACATTGTGTCTTTACTTTCTTGCTTTCTCAATTTATTAAAACACTGTATAAGATATGAATTTAAAGAAAATATACTTTTTAATCAATTGTTTAATATCTTGTTAGCCTATGTAGTATATTAAGTGGCGTAATTAAGACAAACATAGTATATGTTCAGTTTTAATAAATTTTTTGACTTTATTAATGCACAACCGTGAAAGTCTGAAATATTTTTTAAATATCTGTTCCAGAAATTCAAGCACGATGTTTGGAAAATAGTAATGCCCACGCTTCTAAGATATAAAGACTGTCTTAAATATTCAAGGAAATTACAATAAAAATCAGTTTAAGCTGAAATATCAAGAGATGAAACAACTTCGGTTTTAGAAAGCGTTATATGTTTTTTATCTTAGAGTCGTATAAGGTCTTTATTTGGGATGATTTTTGGTGAATGGTAAATGATAATATAGCTTAGTTATTTCTACTGTTATTATCATTAATGAACGCGTTAAATTACACTAATTGGCATCAAGCGAACTACTGATAGCATACTGCTTACATTATATTATGCAATTGCTAAGTTAAATAAAGAACTGTTTGACTTATATTTTTTGAAAATGTTACTCTTTGAATATGAAACCTAGGCCAACGTTTTATATAATTTGTTTAGAATATGATTGTCATACCGTTATCAATTTTTGGAAATACAGTAGGTGTTTCCAAGTAATTTTTCTGCAAATAAAAATCTTTCACTTAGTAAAAATAAGAAATACACTGAAGCTTTTTACAAAATACTAGAGTTTTTAGCGCACGTACAATTCCCTTTTTACAAATATTATGAACATGTATTTTTCCCTACAGTCCTATATCCAAATTTTGTTAAAAATATGTAAGTGTACAAACAAGTCTTTGATGTTACGAATGTGTATGCATCCTAGTGATTTTATTTTTACCGTAGTTTAGAGTATTTTACTTTTATTACAGTCTTCTTCCAAATATCTCCATCGCTCTTATCCTCGTTTCAGGGCTTAGGAGTCGTTGATGGCGAAAACTACGAATTTATCGTGGTTATGATGTTTTGTATATTTGGGATATATATCTTTTTCTTCTGTGATAAATTCATTAAAATCACCCTTGAGTCAAAGAAGGTCTTTTCACTGCTTTCTTCATTGCTTAGGATATGTTTAATTTTGTTTCAATGGAATGTTACACTTATTATGAAAGAGTTTTATGAAAAAAAAATATATATATAGGAGTTTTATGTAATTAATTGATGGTCTTCTCTCTTTATGCAGTAGTTTTCATTCCTTGCATTACGTTTCATCGTTTCTCTGCATTATTTAGATGAATGAAATTGAATTGTTGAATAACGTTGGAACTCATATAAGCATGGAAGCCGGAGTTGTTTCGATCCGTTCGACAGATGCTTTAATCAATGAAAACGGTATATGCGTTGTTTGGTTGTTTTATTGCACTTTTTTGTTATTATCGATCAATGTAAAGTGTTAAGTTTTAATGTGAGATAAATGACTTTGAATACTACGCAAAAAAATTACTGATGAAATGTATTGGGAAAACTTTCACCAAAACATTTGAGGCATCAGGAAGTTTCTATTATGGCATCCATACCAAGTGAAGATTGCGACTCTGTCGTTTGCAGATAATAATTTCAAGTCCGATGCTTTTCCAATATCGGGACCAATAAAAGGATACAAAAAACGAACATCATTGCTCAAGCAAAACAGCGACGTTGATAGCACAATTCGTTCCAGTCTCGACATGTCAAGACAGGTACTACGTTTTTTTTTTAAAAAAAAAAAAAATTCTTAAAAAAAAGACCTAAATGCTATTTACAGTGATTTTTATTTTCAGCCGAGACTTTCAGAAATCTCAGTTAACTTCTTTTTTTTTTTTTTTTTTTCTTTTTTTAATCTAATTTCCAACATCGGGACGAATAAAAGGATACAGGAAACGAACATCATTGCTCAAACAAAGCAACGAGGTTGGCATCACAATCCGTTCCAATCTCGAGTTGTGAACTGCTCTTAAATTATGATAATGAAATTAGAATTTTTGCAAAATATCAGTAGTAAAAAGATTGGTGTATTTTAGGAGGTTGATACAATTGCATCTGTTAGTATATATATATGAAGTAGCTATAAATTTTCTTTTCAGGCTCATGGTATTTGTGTTCATGACCATGAAATAACTTTCAATCAGACCAAAGACTCGGCAATAAAAACGGTAGCATGGATGATTGTATTCGGAGATGGTTTGCATAATTTTATCGATGGAGTCAGTATTGGTGCTGCTTTTAGTGAATCGCTATTAAGTGGTCTGAGCGTCAGTGTGTCAGTATTTGCCGAAGAGTTCCCACATGAATTAGGTTATTCATTTGATAATAACAGCTAGAAGAGGAAGTTATAAATGCTTGCAGCATTATTATTTCAGTTTATTTATTCACATGATTGTTCAGCGTTTAATTCAATTTCTTTTACCGAAATATTATTGCACTCATTATTACCTTCATGGGTCTGAAAAGGGAAAAAAGCGATCATTGTTGTTCGTTTTTCAGAACTTTTCCAAATTCGTTCGTCCTGGGTTACTGTAAAAACGCACCACATGTTCCACAAATGTGTGCTGATTTTCGGAGACAAGCAATAGTATCTGCTGTTTTTCTCACAGCGGGTAGCAGTAGGTAGTATGGAGCATTCTCAGGTTGTCGGCTAAACGGCTTTGTTTGAAATTGATAAGTATTTTTACAGAAAAATTATCATAATCCTGAAATGCTTTTTCTCAGAGAACGAATTGTAAACGTTTCATTCTTCAGGCGATGTGGCAATTTTGTTGAATGCTGGTATGAACCAGAAGCAAGCTTTATTTTATAATCTACTTAGTACGATTACCTGCTTCGTAGGATTCATTATTGGTGTCGTCCTGGGTAGTGTCGAATCACTTCTACGATACATTTTTGGTTTTTCGGGTGGCATGTTCCTATACATTGCCCTTTCGTGTATGGTGCGAAGTTTATTTATATTGTCTTTCCATCATATGTGTTTTTTAAAATTACTTGGAAGCTGTAGTTAAATAAAAGTTAAAGTTGCAGATGCCCGAAATGAAATCTACAATGGATGAAGCACTGGAAAATGGTTATGTTGATGCGTTTCTTGTTCTTTCGTTACAGACTACAGGCTTAGCTTTAGGAACGTTCTCAATGTTTTTTTTTGCCCGCTATGGAGATTTAATCAAGTTTTCTTGAATTTTCGCTTTTTCGTTTGTGTACTGAAGGTGCTTTTCTGATTTTGATGGCTATGTTGATTCATCTTTGGCTTTTTTTTTCTATTGTCTTGGACGTTTATATTTCTGAAAGTATTATGTGAAATATTTTTTGCACCAATTTGTAATGAAATTGACAGGTTGTGTCGTATATTTCGAAGTGAAGTTCTTTAATTAAATATAGTGTTTGTATAATTTGACTCTCTGTGAGTTGGATTGAAAGAGAGGTACCAAATTCAAATTGTTGAGCAGGTGGTCCAATGTGAGATGAGGGGAAATCTTATCTGATTTAGAAATTGCATATATCATCAGTAAACTTCTTTTGGCATTATTACTTCAACTTTTTTATGTTACTTTTTTGTGTGAACATTAGTTAGGCATCCGTAATGCTTTTCAAAAATGTTTGGTCCCTTGTATCACTCATATCTCTTATTTTTCGGAATTACTTGACTCGGGATAACTGAGATACCGAATTTCCTTAATCCGCTCACTATTGTTTGCTGTATCCCTCTTCAGAGGTATTGAGAAAGGACTTCTTCCCACAGGTTTGACCAATCATGTCCTTTTATCACACTTCATAGAAATATTAACGTGTTTTATCTTTAACTATTTTTTGGTTCTCTTTAAATGATTAGCTAATAGCATGTTTTAAAATGCTGCTTTTTCCAAATCATAACAATCTCCATTTGTGACAGAGGCGAATTTGGGTTTAACCATTGAATGTCTTTATTGTTTTGCTAATTTATCATCAAGCTCACACTAGGTTAAAATTTTACGATGCAAAAAGTTTTCAGGATGTGAAGCTCATTTACAATACAGTTTGCCAACATTTGGTTCTATACAGCATCTAAACTTTCGGAACTAGCTAAATTATTTGGATAATAGGGTCATGTTCTTTCTATGAAATGCTAAGTTAGCCGAACCTAATTCCATGTTTAATTAACGGCTACGATTACAAATATCTCTACAACCTTAGCCGGCAGTTCGCCGAATTTGTAGGTTTAGTAAAGTGTAAATCCGATGGAATTTCTAACAGGTTTTGGTTTTATTCTGCAGCTCCTTAATTCACAGGCAGATTGGCTTTAAACATGTTTCGGTGCAAAGGAATTGTTACAGGACAGAAGTCACTGTCTGAAACTGTAGGTTTTATTTAACAAGTAACATACATGATACTAAACCGCAGTTAGCGTCTTCATGGTTCGCAATAACAGGGCAACGTACGGAACCTACGAATATTCAAAATTTAGAGTATTATAACAAGTTCAGTGTAATCGCAAGATATAAAATTCATGCAACTATGGGAAAGAATAATTTAGATTCCACTTATTACCATAGTATAGATAAATCGACTATGTTGCCCAGAATGGCTCATGTCACCATGAGAGAGATATCTACCCATGATGATCAGAACAAAATGAAAATGTTCGCTTCGGCTGAAATATATTTTATTTTTTATATATGTGCTTGTATATGGGCATCAGAAATGGGGATGTGATAGGGAATAGCAGTAATTCACTATTGTCGGAAACTAGGCAAAAGGCCGTTAATGAATGTTTACTAATGCTCTAGCGGCATCGTGATCGGAAGAATTTAGTGCAACAAGAGTACAAAGCTTTTTCAACATATCCGGAGATTTTTCAGCCTCACGGACATCTTCCAGAAATTCAACTAATTTCGGAATACAAAAACTTGCCTCACAACTCGAACACAGTGTTTTATTGCATTGCTGACACAGAAAAAGTTTTTTTGGAACGGTTTTCATAGTACAGTTTCCTATACTCATAATGTGTGAAGCATTCTCACATAGATTACAGGTAGATTTATAAATTTCTGTTTGTACGGTTATTGTGACATGCGAAAACAGTAATTCGTTGTAGATGCAAAGTCGGAACAATTCTTTCGTTGGTGGATCTAGGTCTTCGCCTACCCAGGATTTTCTGCGTCTCACGTAACAATGTTCTTTAAGCGCTTTTTTCAAACATAAGGTAGTGCGACTCATTTCTCTGAAGTTCCTACAAATGATTACTAGATAGCTTTACAGTATTGATGTGCCAAAAAAAAAAAGTACGTATGAGAAACTGGAATCGATTCTCGTTATGTCACTAAAACTGTCGTAACGAGCGGTGAAGAGATCAGGGAAGTTTAAGAACTTCCTTGCATTTTGAATATTGTAAATCAAGGTTGACTACATCTAGCGAGGTCATTTTAACAAATCTTATTTCATAAAAAGATAGTGAGATTTTACATATAAAAACACCTACCATAAGAAAATGCGCAAACAGGGTGAATCGACTTTACGAACTAAAGAGAGTTTTAATTTCCAGTACTCACATTCCAGAATTTTGGTGAATAGTTTCGCCTGCAATGTTGGTTTCAGCTGACATTTATATGCCGTGCTAAAGGAACTGATGAGTAAATCAGTCGGCGTAAGTTCCGAATGTATATCATTTTCCAGAACCTGGTAAAAGTATGTTTATGACAGTATGCAGTCGCGATAATATTATCTCCAAGTTGAAACTAGTTGATCAGAAATCTGTGAATAATGTTACCTTTTCGCACATCATGATAACCATATCCATTTGCAGGCAGCAAGCAACTGGGCAGATAATACCAACATCGAAAACTAAAGTAATAGGCTGATGTATTAATTTCATCAGGGGAGAATAATGTCATCAGGAAGTAGAACAAAACGAAATTAAGGACTGTACTTGTTGGAGGAATTGGATACTGTCCATATATTGTAGGACAGACGGCAAAAAGCAGACGCTCCATAGCATCGCAGGTTACATTGTCCAATCGAATGACAAGCTCCTGTCCTGCCTTTTCCTGGAATTAAATATATTTAATAATTGACATGCTTATGTCTATCAGTATTTCGGATTATCAAAAATTCTGTTACGTTAAGTGATTTTTCAAAACTTGCTAAATTAAACTAGAATTCAATGCACTTATGTAAATGATATATCAATTATGTGGTTAATATTCCTATTGTCAGAAATAAAGTAAATAATATATCATACGCACAAGATTTTCAACTTCATTAGCGCAGACTTTAGAAAGCTTGCATATGGTTGAACGGTCAGTGAATAAGCGCTCTTCGTCATTTTTAAATTCTATTCGTACAGTTCGCCATAAATCCGGTAAACGAAAATTAACCTGGAAAAGTTTTATCCAACCCCATACAATGCCATAAGGAATTTTTCTTTTTTCTCTTTTTCTTTTTTTTTTTTTTTTGTAGCTTTCGGGAAAGACGTGTTTCATAGGTTTTAATAAACGGGTTAAACACCAAACAACCAACCATAATAGGAGGCGTGTCGGGATCATTTCTCTGGTATTCACCAAATGGTACTGGAACCAGGCGCAGATTTTTGAAGCAATCTGTTAACTTCGAAGTCATTGCGAACTACAATGGTAAATTTTTAGTTCAATAAGTCCGAAAACAAAGATATAATTTGAAGCCAGTGGAAGTTAAACGTAGGTTGAGAAGATACTCTTGATGCATCAGCCAAGGCTTGCATGGAAGTCTCGACCACCTTTCTTTTGCAAGGATTTCAATTCATAAAAGCTCTCCTACAACCATACGCCAGAATGTGAGTTATCAATAAATTGTAATAAGATTTATCCACATTGGGAAGTCTCCCGCTAATTATACCTTGTTGTATTGCTCTTCGCATTTCTAATCCTTTGACCTCCTGGATTATTCTTCCATTTTTGTTGGGAACAACGCTTACAATGATAGAGTTCAATAATCAGCATACGAATTCACTCAGAAGAATTTTCGGTGCACTTTTTATTAAAGCGAAAATCAGTTACGATCTTCATTTGCCATAAAATGAAATTCATTCCAGTCACATATATTACTGGGTAAAATTTTAATTCCCTTCTGATATTCCGTAACGCATGAATTTAAGAAAACAACATTATTTTAATAGATTTTGTAAGCACTTTCTGCACTGAAGATCTTTAACCTTCTTTCCTCCTCGCGTAACAATGGTAATCACATAAAAAGCATTAGTTTGCAAAGGCACACTATTACAGCAGAGAATTCGTTGCATATGATTCACAAGAAAAACTGGAATATCTTAGCTCATTGGTCTTAACGGAATTAATCATCACATTATTTAAAATTTCAGGATACTATACAATTACTCGATGATTTGTTCTTTGCCGTTTGTATTCTGTTACAACTTCTATTGCTTTGAACAGTACCCTGCAATAAAAACTTCATTAATTTCAATAATAAAGAATTTTATAAAATTAGTTTCTCCGGTTAAAAAGCAGAAATTCTTAGATTAGATATGGCAAACAAAAAAACCCTTAGAACTCATATGACAAAGATATAATGACAGTGTTAACTTAGGTATAAAAAGAAACTTACAGTTGTTCTGTTGAACTGAGAAAGAGACGCAGCTAAATAATTTAACAGGTATACATCATCACTATCGCTTTCGGATGAACTACACGAACTGGAAATTTAAATTATTTCACCAAGCAAACCGTCTAAGTATGTTCACTTTCATTATATGGCCTTTGCCCAACAAGTAACATAGCACATAAGAATCCACCGAAATTTTGCAAAAAAAAGTGATCAAAAGTTAAGCAGGTTCAGGATACCAAAAATTTCGCTTTTGCATTCTCTAGCTAATAGTTACCTGCATCGCTGACGCCTTCTTCTTAGAAAAGGTGAGGGTGGTGGCATCCGAGAATAAAGATTTTGTTTCTTATCTTCGTAATCACCTTTTTTTTTGCAATATTCTTTCCTACAGTATTCATCACAGCACGGTCGCCGAACATCAGCACTTTGCGATCGGCGATTACACCTACGGTATTTACAATACCATCAAAAACCAAACATTCGTGGATCAAAAGTTAGATCCTGTCAAACAATAAATGAAGGATACGTTGTTGAAAAAATGAAATGTCACCCTCTCAAATGTTCGATTCCATTTATATCATCCCATTCCCTCGAGAAACATGGTAAAACAGTTTCGTAAATATTCTCGGCTGGTGGTGAAGGAGGATCCCGAGATGGTGGCTCCGGTACCGATCCTCGACGTCTACTTGAAACGGACATCACTTTGCTATTAAATGTCACCTGATATATAGATTTATATAAGATGAAAAGCGACAAGTAAATAAATTTAAATAATAAATGAATTGGTGGAAAATATGCTAGTAGATTGTAACAAGTGATAGGTCTCATTTCATCGTAAAATGAGATCAATATTACAGCCATTAAGAATGGAAAAAGAAACATAAAAACCAAACAAACAGTACCTTTGAATACCATTTTCCACAGTTCGCATCCGTAACGCAATATAATTTTTCGTCCCTAAATGAGTACCTCTTTCCCAACAAATTTTTACCACAATCACTACAACAGAAACAACGCTCGTCAGCATGCCAATGTATATCATTCTGAAATTGTATTCTGATAATTTTTTTCGACGTCTTTGTATTTTTCATTGACTCTCACATACAGCTCAGCTTACAAGTGTAAAGCGAAACCTCTTGCGTGAACTATGGCTTAATAGATAAAGTCAAGCATGAAACTTTGACTTATACATGTTTCATTTTTTCATAGTAGATTTTCTCCTCATTACTCTACCCATCAATCTGATTACAGTATTAAAATAGGTTTTTCAATGCTCTGGAACATTGATATCTGAAATGAAACCCAACATCTCAAAAAAAAAAAAACCCAGAAACCCGAACAGATATAAATCGTTATCAAACAATGGCTGACACAACTGACGACAAATGAAGTTTTAAAGTGATAACAATATATATAAAAGAAAGAACCTGAATTATATGCGGCTCATCGACAACAATTTCTTTTTCACAGGTGTTACAAACCAATGAGGGATTTTCATTGTAACAAGAAATGCATATCATCCTATCATTTCTTCCAATATACCTGAAAATGATTAAGAGATCTGTGCATTATGCAAATAACTCTGATATTTAAGAAAACTGTGAAATACCTTTGACCACCGAGTTGAACACCACAATCTGAGCACGAGAAATGCGCCATGTGCCATGTTCTTCCTTCTGCTTCCGTACACTCTTCACTGAATATCAGCTGAAATTTTAAGGTACAAAATTTTTAACCCATAATAGGAAGAACTGTGACTTTTACAGTCACAAACTTCATCTTTAGCATCTGAAAATGGCGAGATATTAAGAATGTTCAAGAGATGGAAGAAAGATGTGGAAGGTAAAAAAGATTTACGTTCGTTTTTGAGACAATGATATACGTTTTCGTCAATATCATCGATTCAATTTAAATTCAAAGTTAAAGTAATGATGTTAAGTTTACCATAATGACAATGCTAGTCTTACACACAAAGGTTAGTAATATATAATATATACGTTATAACTTGGAAAAATGCGACCTGTGCGCACAGATGTGCTACAGGGGGAGTTGTTATTGCTTATTGATTAATCAGCGACTTACACAAATTCAAATTGTAAATTATATTCATGTATCTTAGAGTTTCCGTACAGCAAACAAACCAATTTTAATGGTGGTATCAAAATCTAGTTCAATACTAGTTAGAAGACTTTTAGAAGTCCTATTTTTTTTTTATTTAAACCAAGGTTCTGTCTGCGGACAGAAACTGCTCTTCAAAGAGCCCTACCAATATCCTTCTAGACTTCGAAAAGAGTAGCTTTCGCTACTAAGGAAATATAGTTGAATTAAATAAAGAAAATCTTGACTTACGAATTTTATCATTTTTTCTGACACTCTTTGTCACAATTCTTACTTGGTGCCTCTTCTCACGTGATGCCAGTTGTTAATGATCAACTAACATTTAGTTTGAAGTGCTAAGGCTTGCTTCATAATTTAAAACTTAATTATGAGCGCCGTGGAAAGCTTCTCTTATTTAGGGAAAGTGGTGATTAATGCGAGAAATACAATATTGAAAGCAACTACTTTCTAGGTTGTACGAGTTCTTTCATGATATTTCTTTATTTCATCATTGTTTCATTTACACGCTAAAAAGAGAATCGCCAATGAGTCTTAAATTTTATATCGTCAGAATTCATAATGACTGAGATAATGGTTTTTGAAATATGGAGTAGATCGGAGAATTAGAAATTAGAAAGGACTGGAAAATCGATAGAAGCATTGCGCATGTAATAATGGGCAAATGAGAATGTTTGCAAGCTAATACTGACCTCAAAACATCTGTCCCAAAATTCAAAATTTTCTTCCTCTGTAAGAAACGAACGATGTCATTGCTTGCATCAAGGTATTGTATCAAAACTCGTATGACAAACCGAATGCATTTATAGGAGCTACTTGGCAAATTAAATAGAGAGTGGATGTGAAATGTGATAAATCAAGCATTCAGAATAGGAATTTGGTAAAAAAATAAGAGAAAAACATCATTGCAAAATGTTGGTGTGGAACTGAACTTGCCTCATCACATTTGGCACACCTGGGTTTGATTTGCTCTGCGTGATGTCTGCCGCAATACACGTCGGCCCCATGCTTAAAATAAATCAAGTCAACAAGGAGATTTGAGCACTCCGTGCAAACAAAGCATTGAGGATGCCAGTGTACATCATGCCCGAACCTTTCAGCATTAATCACCAAGTTTCCTTCACTTAATGATTCTTTGCACTGCAATTGGGTAAATTTGACAGGTTAAGTTGAGTAGCGCAAAGAAATTTCAAGCAAATTATAACCAGAAAATTACCAAATTTATTAAAATTTCAGAGCATAGTGACATTAAAATAAAATGCATGAATCCACCTTCAGAGACATTTTTATATTGCTTAATCAAAAGGCAAACAAAATGAGAATATTAAATTCAATGTTTGCAATTAAAGGATAACTGTAAAACCTTGTGGCAATGCCGTCGCTTGTTGTCGTATGGGAGCTGTTCGATAATACCGCGTCCAAGGCACTCACGTTTTCGACCCACTTCAAATTGTATTAGTTCACGTACTTCTTGATTGCTCAACTTACCACAATAGCCTACATCAGAATCTTGTGGTGGTAACTGATAATACAACTGGCGTGTTCGCCATTCTTCACCAGCCGAATTCACATAAGGTATTTTGTCTTCTGGTAAGCAAGCGAAATACATATGAACCTGAATATGTAACTCATTTCAACTAGGAAGATATATGAGATTTCAGGAATTGATACTATCATCTTTCAGAATAGCAGTAGAACCGAAGCTTCTGTTTCGCATAGAAATTTATGCATACATACCATAGTAACGTCGGCAAATTTATTTTACAAATTAGAAGTCAACTACAGTCGAATTAGCCTCATTACTCAGTTTCTGAGGAAAAAAAGAAAACAAAAGAGATAGAAACGGCTGAAGTATCATTAGCAGCGGAAGGCAATTAATGATAGCTGAAATAGTAGCAGTCAAAATTACTTCTTGTTACTAAACTACGAAACCAATCCACCAGAATATTTGAATCAATGAAAGATTTAATGAAAAGTTTTTTGTCAAAACAGACGAATAATAATAAGAAAAAAAAAAAATGAAAAACCATATCAGGCTTGATGCCACTTGGTACCCAGGAGTATTCTTCCAGCATACATCCACTGTCATCATCGCTAGTGCTGTGACGGTGAACATCTGCCGCAATACGTATTCTGGATGCTGGCGATAAACATCCACCGCTCATTTTACACCTAATATTGATTTTATTCATATTTGCAAAACCGGTAAATCAAATGCTTTTTATAGCTACGGCTCACTAAATCGTATCACACGGCTTTTAGCTTTTTATCATATTTCCGCTTTCAGTTACTTAGCAATGAATATTTTATCAAATTAAAAGTTCGGTAAAACAAACAGTATCCTGCAATAATTATTTTCACACAAACGCAAGTAACTGTAATATAGGTTCGATTTTACTGGAATAGGAATTTACTTTCCGAGGATACAGATATCCATCCAGTGATGTTCTTTCAAGGCAATTCAAAATGGAGTGTGAAATTGTACATTATGTACCTAATCAGTTGTCGCTATTAATAAGAAAAAAAGGAAGAAGGAAGGTGCATATATATCTTAATATTCCTATCGATGCAGCGTTAAATAGGAATACGAAACAGGAATCTTCTGTTCAGCATTCCAATATAGTAGTACTGAAATTATTTCATATTTTACTAAGTTTAATACAGTTAAAAAAGTAATACATAGTTGAAGAGAGATCGAATCACGAATGAGCCAAATAAATAATATGAAGTTTTCTTCAAAGCTAAAATCCTAAAATAAAAAAGTGATAAAATTGGTTGGCACTCGTCATTTACAATTCCGGCCAGAAAAGTTGATGAAAGACACAAATCATACTGCAACAAGAAAAACTGACACTACGGTTAATAATATACTTCCCGGTGTTAAACATTATTTCAGTGTACTTTGGCAAATATTTTAGTACACAGTAAATTTTCTAGGTATCCTCAATGACGAAGTGAGATACTCGGTAGCAGAGGTTGTCAATCATTTACGCAAACACTTCAAGATGATGCGGAGCTAATTACAAAACACTGTTATATGTGTCAAACTTTGCGATGATGTAATAATGACTCAGCAATATGAAATATTTGGGGACAAAAGGGCTGAAATAAAATCAGTTGCCACAAGATCGGCTTACATATATAGACCCTATATTTCAAGAGAAGTAGAGAGGGAAAAAAGAAAGGTGGAAGAGGAAGAAGAAAAGAGGAGGAGAATTACTAAACCATCTAAAGAAGGTCAGTGACCAACTGCATTATAGCTGTTATTAAGTCGCCTCCAACGATCAGATACCATATTATTTGATATGAGTGGGAGGACATGCGAGCAAGCTGGCGCTCTTCGCCACTGCACAGGACACATGCGACACCCTTTAATCCTGTTCAGCCGAATAATATTAAACAACGCTGTACGATATTCCAATATATCTAGTCCTTTTTATCTCTTTTACTTTTAATAAGCCTTTCTAAATCTGCATTTTCCAATTATTCCTTGAAAGAATCAGAAGATATCAAAGATTGAAAAGCTTGAGCAGCTTGTCGCGAAAAATTTGTAACTTATTATGATATCTGCTAAGCATTATTTCTGTTGATCATCTTTGAGCAGAAAGGATGTTACTGGTGTTCAAAAGAATGATACAAAATATAGATAGGAAAAAAAAAATATCTAAGCCATATCTACTGAAAGTTGATGTAAATCAACTAAATTTACTTTCTTTAATGACTACATATCGACATTGTTCATAAAAGCATGCTAAGTGATAAAGTGAAAGATAAGAGACTGAGGAAGGGAGAACAAATATCAAATATCTTTTGATATGATCAAAAATAAGATTTGCTTCAGACTTGTGGAAGTTATGGATAACGAATAAGCAATATGAGTACTGCTTTGCAGAATTCTGTTAATTTAAATACTTTTCCAATAGATGAAATAAACGAATAAATGGACAGGCAAGCAAGACGGCTAAGCATTTATAACGCTGGCTTAAATCATAACTTTTCAAAAAATTGTCTAAAGTACAATATAATAAAAAATTTGGAGGAAAGTTTATTATTTTTGTGTTATCTGGTATCAGGATTCAGGAAATACCAGATAATAAGTACGATAACACTCTCTTCTACTTAGACAATGAACAGTTAGAAGTAGCTAAACTTGAGCATATCTAGAAAAAGCTAAAGCCTTATCCTTTCCTTTCCGTGCCTATCTTAGTGGAAATGATTAATGGTTATTCTGCGGGCAATACATCTCTACACACTGCATAACAGTAAATGAATTTTTAGACTGCATTGCTCGTATATTGGGATGAAAGAGTATAACATGAAGGATGCCCGTATAGCACATTGGGAATGCCGTCACTATGATTTATTAAACTATTTTCAGAGCAAGAATAATATTTATTCAGAATCGATATATCGCCAATTCTTTGATAGTAACTTTCCCTCTATTCACTACTCATTCTCAATTCAAAATTTCCTATTATCTTACGTGTACCTCCTGCTCAATCAAGCTTATAACGTAATGTTATCACTTCATATCTATTTCTGTGTATATCATACATATTTTTGTTCCCTTTAAATATATAATTATAAATATTTGTTTCTGTATTTAGATTACCAATAAAAAATCTTGTCGTACTTCATTACACCAAACTTACTGGTAACAGTGAATTTTCTCTTGACAGAGTTAGTGAGTGATGCAAGTTCGAAAATTATAAATTCCTACATGAACTGAATTTAAGATGGAATAAATGAATTTAATGATTACTGTTAACATTCCATATGAGGGAGCAGTCATAAAATTAAAATATATCAAACTAAAATAAATATGGTTTTTCAGTAATACTTTTCAAATATCTGATGCTAAAAAGGACTTATGATCAGCACTATTTGAGATTAAGGAAGTTAGAACGGGTTGGAAACTGAAAACATGAAGTTAATGAAGGAACAAATTATGTTACAAGACTGAACTGACAGCGTTCATTTATTCTGAGCTAGGCTAGATTATATCTGATAAATGAGAAATATGGATTAGAGCTTTACTATGCAGATTAGCGGCAAATGAACGCCTAAGTCAGATTTCCTGATTGAAATGAATTCTTGCGAAAACTTATACAATTGCTCCCTCACTATTCACAATTAACTATTTTGCGTATTGTAATTTCATTTAAAAATTTCAGAAAATCTGGCGATTCTTTCTCCACCTTCGTAAATACCAGCTGTGCATTTTAACGATCTCTTGCTTCCCTCTTAAAACGTAAACTTTAGTCCAAAATAACCGCTTGCAATTCTTCTTTTGTTGCAGAATACTATAAGCTATCCGGAAACTCACATGCTCACAAATATTTTCGATTTTTGCAAAGCGGTCTTCAAAGCAGTTCGCTGCGTCAAGCTTCATTTTTCTTTGATTGAACTGCATCTACCTCGATTAATATTTAAAATAATATGCGCACCGGAGACAAAAAAAAGATGTTATCGTAGCATCGTAATTTGCAGAACAATTGTTTCCATTAGAGATTATCACTTCCATAGCGTTTATCAAATTAGATAAAAAAAAAAAAAAAAACAATTCAAGGCAGCTTATTAAAATTTCGAAATTTTCTTCATCGAAATAACTTGATGAAAAAGCTCTCATATCATTTTGTCAAAATAACGGTTGTGTAAAACGAGGGTGGAATTCAGTGTCTTTGAACTGTCACATAACAAATAAATTGCTTTTGTCAAAAACATTTTATTCAATGATATAAAATGAAAAAAGAATTTTTTCTTTTGCTATTTCCTCACCCTTCCAGCAGGTACTTTCTGGAGGATTGATGATATATTTCGTAAAAAATATAGCAAAGCAAATACATCACCGCATCTCTAACAATGCAGATACAGGGGCAAACCATTCAAATGATCCACAACATCAGTCGTCTGTACTGCACCGCTCTTACCAATGGATTGGGTCGTCGCTAAAGCAACTAGTAAAAATGGAAAATAAACTCCGCAAAACTAATTCTCAAAAACTGTATCAACAATAAGAAGCAATCTGACCAGACTAGATAAGTCGAAGATGCGGAATTTCGTGGCTACAATCATTTGTAGTTAATTACACAAGCTGCAGAAAAACTATGTAGGAGAAATGAGGAAAGAAGTGAAAATTTGGAAAATAGATTAATCAATACTGAACTGGGTCAAGTTCAGTTAAATTCAAGTTTCGTTTCTTCAAGAAAACTTGTAATAATTGAATAGAAATTTTTTGAAATGAATAGATTTTTGAACAACTCCCGTTATAACTCCTAATTTCGAATCAGAAATTAAGTTGAGAAGCAGAAATTACAAATGGGGCCTAAATCTTATGTTTTTGAGTAACCTATGAAGTTAGTAAAAGAAATAAATTTCCTTTGATCATTAAAGACAGAATTTTGAATCTATTAAATTAAACAATAGTTATTATGATAATGTTTATGATGACAAGATCAAAATGAAATTCAAAGAGAAGAATTTTGTGAAGAGAAAAGGATCTTAAATCCTTTAAAGTAGGTAAACAAACAAGAGTTTTTAGTGAAAGGGTAAAGAAACATGCGTTCACACAGAATTATTGTTAAGAAAACTAAAGAAATTAAAAGCAAACTTTGAATGAAGTAATTGCAAAGTATATAAAGTATGCGAGTACATGAACATAAGGATTCAAGATCAGGACCACCCAGTGAGCAAAAAAACACGACCTGTTGTTCAAATGGAAAAATATGCTGTTAAAAAATGTTGTCGGGAGATTTATGAAGGTTTTATACATAGATTTTAATCAGAAAGATATATATATATATAGCAAACAAGTCTGCACTGCCTGAATATTTCAGCAAATGAGGGTCACAAATAACAGCGAACCAAGACAAGAAAATGTTCAAGGTCATCAGCAATGTTCACTTTTGAGAACTAGTTTAGTGCTGGAAAGACAACCTGGAATCCTCACCTGAGAAGTGGTTTGATTTATGAGTGCTGTCATTGCATCAATTTGATTCTGTTTTATTACGTTTTCCTCTCCTAATCCAATTTGTCTTTATCTCGCTAACATTGATAACATCGCGTTGTTGCAAACTTAGAACTACTTATTAAATATAGTTTATATTAGGTAAGCCAGATATCTATCGGCTATTAGATTTCCTAAAAGTCTTCGCCTCAAGGGCAA